GTTGTTTTTTTTGATAGATCAATTGCCGCTACAACATCAATCAGATCGTTCTAAATCGTAACATCAATTAGATGTACAAAAAATAATCATCAATCACTTAGGACTTAAAAAAATTTCCAAAAAAAATATTAGGAATATTAAGAACCGCTCAGATAACTGCTTTGAAGATTTGTTATTACTGGAGCGCTCCCGCTCGCTCGTACCATTGATCCTAAGTTCTCGCCTGTACTAATTTACTAATGTTCCAAAAAAACTTAATAAAGCTTCTGGAAATTTGTTTGGTTTTTAACAAAAATCCGCGTGTTTCAGCGAGAACTACCTATAGAAATAAAGGGTTCGATATGGCACAAATAGAACGTTCCATCCTCCGATTTTGCTTCAGAACCCGACCTAAACTTATTCAAAAATTCATCTTTCCTGATGATTCAGAAATTAAAAGCCTAGCCGGCACATTTTTCTCCTAAAAAGATGCTGGCGTGTAATTGGCAGACAGTGAATGCCCGTATCATAGGTTAACTTCCTCCACTTTCTCTCTTCTTTCCTCTTTTCCTTTTCCCTTATCCTCTCTGTTCTCTTTTTTTTTTTCGCATATCCGTCTTGCAAATTAGTCACATGACTGTCCAATATATGACCAGCAGGAGGCTGTACTGATGATTCCCGCTGCTAATTGCACGCAAAGTTCAGTCTGTTTTTATAGCTAAGGGATGAAACACAGAACAGACGGCTGCATCGTACTATTTCCTAATAAATTTTAGTGCTTTTTTTGGCTAAGCTTTTCGAATATTTATAAGAAATTTTAGATTCTAAATTCCGCTTGACCAGCAGAGATGCAGAGCTGTTTGCAGGAATTCAAAGCCTTACTTTTACAAGCACAATACCGGCACTTTCAATAGCAACATCCGAGCCAGCAGCAATTGCAATACCCACGTCTGCACTGGCAAGCGCTGGACTATCGTTGATACCATCACCAACCATCGCTACCCGCTCTTTTGCTTCCTGAGATTTTTTAAAAAAATCTGTCAGTCAGTAAAAACTTCTGTCCCCCAAAAAATATGCGAATTTCTGAGCAATCCCTGTTTTCTATCAATGTATACAACTTAATGGACCGAAACATTTCTTACCATTATAAGAATTTCACAAATTTTCTAATTTTCACTCCTCACCTTTTCCTTTTTTTTCCCTCTTTTTTCTATTCTTCCCTATTATAACTTTCTATTACTTCCAGCAACTTTCCATTTGTCAGGTCACTGAAGTCGGTATCTACAACTGACATACCACATAGTTGCACAATTAACCTCCCGAACTTCGAGGGTCAGCTACTGTGATTCCTTGCGATCTTGCTACAACACGAAAGTTCTTCGATACTGGCCTCGTTGTTTACTGTACCAAAAAATTCAGTTTGGAATTTAGGTTTTGGAATCGCTTATTATGGAGCCTATTCGGTGAGGCAGTTCATCACGGTAGATAAGCAGCAATAAGGCCGTGGTGCTCAACGCATATCAGTGGCATATTTTGGAACGGCTAAAGCCCTCTTTCAGGAAAATCGTTGGATTAGTAATGGCTTTATGAGAAGGATCTCGCTCAAGTTCCCAAGCAGACCGGTCAACGGATGGCAAAAACATTTGAAACAACTGGAAAACTTGTAACCTATATCATTCGAGGATTATACTACTAATTGCGGGAGACCTACATATATATGCAAAACAAACGCTACCGATGGTGCCCCGATCCGAGATGACGGCAAATATGATGCCAGGAAACGAACTATTCATGTTGCATGCCAGAATCTTGTAAGCTACATAATTCAAGGATTACAATATTGACTACGGATATCAGTACTTATCTAACAAGCTCAATTCCAATGGATGAATTTAGGATCCCGCCAGCGGCGAGGAGGATTCGGCACCAGCTCCAAACTGCTGCTGCACAGCGCGCACAAAATACTGCGGCAGGGGAAAGGACTGACAATAGCTCCAAGCTGTCGCCGTAAAATATCACTCAAACACAAAGCAGTCGCTCTCCATATCTAATCGCATCGTTTGTATACAGAGAAGGAACTCCAGTCATGAGACGGGACATTTGCATATCACATGGAATCGTAGGGCAACTGAGCAAGGTAAAGAGGTTCAATCTCCAGCTTTATTTCCATTTTGCTAACTGCGCCTTCTTCCTTTTGCAACAGGATGAATGCATCAGATAACGACCGATTATCGTTTAGGCCTTGCTCGCCCAAAGACAGGCCCAAAGGATGATCGGCCAGTAACCGACACAAGTGCTGCTACTGAATCCCTTCACTTTTATGCTTCGTTACAGCTGCGCTAGAATGAATATAATTTATCCAGAATAATACTTCAAATGCATAAAAAACCTTAAGCTGCTCAATTTTGGTTCGTTTTTGATTTGGCAGTACTTCAGCAAACACTTCTCTGATGCCAACTTGACGTGCCGTTGCTTCTGCAGTACGTGCATTGTCACCAGTTAGTAGAATTACTCGTATATTCATACGCTGAAGTGTCCATACAGCAAGCGCGCTTTCTTTTTTGATTCGATCTGCTATGCTTATCACAGAGACCAGATGGCCTAAATGTTTGCAAAAAAAACAATAGTGGTTATTTTAGGGGCAGTAATTTTACCGACTGTAAGATCGCTTCACAAGAAATGCAACAAAATTCAGCTCACTTATAAAGCAATCCTGCGCAAGAAAAAATAGCTGGGTAAGTAGTGTGGCGAGAATGGAAGACGACAGATGGGCATAGGGACAACTGTCTCATTCCAATATCTTGTATTCCACCGAAAAGAGTGAGATGAAAAGTACGTGGGCTATGCAAATTCGAAATCACGGGATGCCCAGGGCACCCATGAAAAGTTGATGAAAACTCAAAAACCGTACACTGCTAAGGTCTGATAGTACAGAGCCACATGTGATGTGTGCGGTGTAGGTACAGATGTAAATGCTCCAGTTGCTGAATACACGAAAAAATTAAATTACGGGTAATATGTCAACAATGCTCGTGTGACGGCAACTGGTACAAGTAACCACCCAGTGTTGCTCGTGTAATGCTCGAGTAACGCACAATTCCCAACTGTGCCCGCTACTTATACAGGTAACGACCGTTTCTAAATGCAGTACTTGAATATTTTCCGCAGATTACTTGTATTGATGAGCCGTTGTGTCAACAAGCTCAAGTAACAACGAGGAAATTTTCTATAGACCACGAAAGTCTGGTAGTGTAGTGGATAACAAGTCGCAATTCGAAGGACCCGGAGACAGTAACAATGTCAGGTTCGATCCCCCTCGCAGTCCTCGCTTTTTTGCAGAAACAGACTCCGCCCGCGATGTGAAAAAAGAAAACGCTGTTGGGAGTATCAGTGGCAAAAAGAAACATAATGATGCAGGATCGTTTGGTGAATGCCTTAGATCATGCCATGCCTACATGTCGTTAGCAATAATTATAACTCAAGACCTGTCAAATCTGCAAAATTTTGGAAAATTACAGGTTAACAAGCATAGTTACCGTTAATTGCACACAGTACGGATATGTTGCCGTTGGTCTGTTCTTGCTCAATGATTTGACCAACAAAATCATCAACTGGAACGGCATTCTTTGTCATCCATCGTTCGTTGCCAATCACAACACGAAACGGTTTGTTTTCGTTAAATTCAGCCTCGTTTAAATCTTCAAATAATGACAGCTATGAGTCCATTTTTTTTTTTTTTTTTGAAAATAATTCATTTTTAAAAAAAAATCTCAATTTTCATTTCAAACAAATGATGTTACCGGGATGCTCCCACAAACTTGGCGTATCTTTGCGAGGTCCGCGATCCTGAGCAGTTCATACCTGCCGTCTTCTCAACGTTAGC